AGCTTCAACAAGGGGATTCGGTAGTAGGTGAAGTTTGACTGCAGTTTTAACTCATATCGGTTTGGCCAAGAGGGAAGAAGCAGAAGGCCGGTTGGAAGGGAAGAGGCATAGAGTTCAACAAGGCATGAAATCAGGATCGTGGAGTTCAGATTAGGGGCGAAACCGGTGATTGGGAAAAGGGCGGATTTTTAAAATTTCAAAATGAAACACTACATGCATTTTAATAATGCATACTCACACAAATAATCAAAATTCAAATATTTTTAAATCAGACATCATCACAACATAATTTTCAAATTCAAGTGCACTTCCTCGAGAATGGTGTAGTCATCTTGTGAAGTTCATCATCGACTCGAGAAGCATAGCAATTGTTTTGAAGCGCATGCAACTACTCCAAAGAGTGCAAAACTCTTTAAAAGAAGATGCTATAAATAAAGTAAATTGAAAAGCATACGAATATGCTATGCAACGACATAGTGTAGGTGCATTGAAAAGAGAATAAATATATTGAACAAAGTATGAATATGCGCATCAAAAAATGTATAGTTGTATTATGTAAACGCATTGAAAAGCATGCACGCTGTTTAAAAAGGAAGTCAAGATACCCTTATGTGCACCACAAACAAGCTAAACGATCTAACATAAGTCTGAGAATGTTTTACAAGGTTAAAAACAAGCTGAATAAAAATCCCCCATTTTTTGGAATTGAAACACTCACATTCACTCTGACTAATGTGATAAATTTTTAATCATAACGTATGAAAATATTGTGCCAGTTAAAAAGAAATTAAACTAAACTAATCTCTTCAAGCCTTAAAAGGCATGCAATAACTATACATAGCTTATAATTATTTTTAAAAATCAAAAACTCCTTCATAAGCTTCAAAATATTAACATGTCCTCCGACCAATTCATCAAACTCCAAAATGTCAAGTCAGAGAATATTGTGCGGACTAAAAAAGAAATGAGTTCATTCTCAAACTATCTCTTGCCAATAAGGATACGAAAAATGTCATATAACCGATGGTTTTGTCATCAAATGACACCACAGATAAAAGATTATTATCGAGTCCTCTAACAAAGTTGTTTTACTGTGAAATGGCACAATTAAATTACGAGGGTTAGAGCCCATATGTTTTCCAATGACTAAGAAGCCCTTGAGTAATAAATCATTGGATATGCTTAATAGAGAACAAAACTTTCTATAAGCTAAAGTTCACTTAAATTTCTTCTTAAACAAACATCCACCCTGGATCTACACCTTGGACCAATCAATTTGTAATTGTTGAGTATCCTTTGGTAAGTTTGGGTTGACTATCTCTTTTGACTTAAAAGACTAAGAACCATGACTACCTAGATCGATGGAACTATGAGATCACTACTGGATTCATCATCACTCCCCCCAACCATTAGGTTCAAATGCAAGGTGGTAAAATTTAAATCTCAATGCAAAACTCTTGCTGCTATTATACACTAAGCACTTAATGCTTATCTAACGATTATTCTAAATCAAAAGTTCTCTCTCATCACCTACAAGAGTAATTAACCAAAAATGCTTATGCTTATAGGAACTTAGAACCAGATCATAAATTCCTCACAAAATGAGAGTAAAATATATGGGTAGTGTTTTATCTTTAAATCTTTTGAAATTCCTTGAAACTTTCCCAGCGACAGGCTGAATTGCAAATTTTAGGAGTCGGTTAAGATGAATTGAAGCTTGTTTATAGTGAATATTGACATATTTTGTATAATTTTTTGTTTTGAGTCATTTCAAGGTTATATAAAAAACATTGATATTATGTAAATGAATTTATACTTCTACTTTTTTTTCTTGTGTGCTTGTTGTAGTATTCATCAAATGCTTACAACAATTTTCAAGAGCCAGAGTCCTTGTACTGTCATAAGGCCTAGTTCTACCTTCGAGTGATTTCTATCATTTTTTTTTTCTATTTTAATTTGTTTAATAGCTGATTTTTCCAGCATGATTAGATACATACCAGAATTTTCCTTTGAAGAGAAAATTCAATCCTGACTAAAATTTTTTTATTAGAATTCAGCAAAATTTCAATCCTGATTAAAATGATTAAACATCTTTCTGAAATTAAAGAAGTATATTTACTGCATTTATATTAAATGTTAATGATTTTTTTTTAAGGTTGAGATCTGGCAACCTACAAATTGTGAATTTTTATGTATTTTATTTTACAACTCATCATAGATTGCATTGACAATGACTTTCAATATATTCACCATTTGTCCTCAAACAGTCAGTACTTACATCCCTGACAATACTTCGCATAAGTATTACTCCAATATGCATCTTGTGTACATTTGTACAATACCTCGGGCATGTTTCCTCCATTTTACGATCAAAACATAACTTTGCTACAGAGGCGGTCATATCAAAGATCCTGATCAACTAAAGAAGCTAACTTCAACACTATTCGGCTTCTACTCTCTTGTACCTCCAAAACCACTCATTTTTAGCAGTAGTAAACGTCAACAATGAGTTGCGATCTCCAACATGCTCAAATAGAATTCCTCCAGCAGCTCAGCAAAGTATGGTGAACACCTTGTTGTGTTTACTCTTTGGTGTCGTATCATGAATAATTTATTTTTTAGAATGCTAGCAATTCCCACCAACTAAGTAGAATCCAAAATATAGATGATGCACAATTAACCTATTTTTGTCAGTGATATAGAGGAGGAATGAGGTAGTTATGGATGAATTTACATTCGAATATGCATTTCTTATTATACAGAAGTTACTAACAAATAGATTGAAGTTATTATACAAAAGCGACATGGTCATACCTATTGATTCAGATTGCTTAGTTAAAAGAGTACCAAATTTATTTAAAACAGTACTACTCACGTGCAGTTCAAATAGACATAAACACAAACAAAAAATTACCAAACCAGCTATCCAAAAAGCTCTCTCCTAATCCCTAGCCTTTGTCTGCTTTAGCCTTTTACACAGCAGGTTTTAAAAAAAAAAGCTCACCTGGACCAGGTTTCACTATCAAAGGTGCCAGATAGACTTATGCTTTCGAATTTTTACTTTTCCTAAATTTTTTATCTTTTTACTAAAAATGAAGTTAAGCATTGCTGATATCAATATGACATTAGAATATTATAAGGAAAAGCATAGAAGATATAAAATATTAATATGGATGTGTGGTAACATTTAGACTAAGGAATTGTTCGGTTGCAGTAACATGTGGGCTTTAATTATTAAGGTTTTTTCTTATGAAGTAAAACATATGTGATGTATATTTTTAGGGAATTTGGAAAATTCAAAATTCTCATTTTTTGTGAATTATAAATTGTCCAAAATTAGTTGAATTCCCAATACATTGTCATCCTACACCATCCTTGATACCGTGGCTCACAACCTTTACCCCGCTTCTACATAACATCTTTGGTCCTGTCAACAATCCCGCTCCTACTCGTGCATATTCCCATCACCAACCATATTTCAAATCTCTTGTGTAATCCTCATTTTCATCTCAAACCATGCTTTCACTTTTGCACATCACCCCCTTCCCCATCTCCGTAATCCTAAACTCTACACATTCTTTTGCACAACTTGATGGTTTTGCATCACAAATATCAATTCAAATGCTATAAAATTCGATAATGTGAAGAAGTCTCCTATCATCCCAAAATCCGGCATCTCCACCCACTCAATCATCTTCACTATAATCACTTTCCCTATCCCCCAACTCCTCCCTTTCCCCAAAATATGAGTACTTTTCTCATTTGCATAAGCATCTCCACTATCTCCATCGCATTCCACATCTCCTCTCTCCATGTACATCATCATTCTAATCACCACAAACTCATCCTCCAACTCCACCCCTTCCTTGATGCTCCATCCCCTAAAACAAATTTGAACGCTTTGTGAACACTATCATACACATACTCAAAACCCTAGTTATTTTCTCTAAATTTATTTTTAAATTAATTTTTATTAGTGCTGTACTAATAAAAGATATTATATTAATAAATTTAAATTGGTGATTAAATTAAAATAATTACAATACTTATTTTATAGCTAACAAAAAAACACTTGAGAAATCAAAATCCATTCTATTTATTTAACACAGCATTTTTAAAATACAAGAATCCTAAATACTAATTTACTGAGTTTACATAAACAACAAAATAAAGAGAGCTGGTCTATATGAGATTCAAATGAAAGAATAGGAAGCACCCTTATGTAAGGAATTTAGAATCAAAGTAAGAATAGAAAGAAAAATGATTGAAAAAATTTTATGTGGAAAATGGGAGGTGTGAGTAAAAATTGTAACGTGACTACAAAAAGTGATCCAACACCCAATAAGGTGTAAATTCAAAGAAAATAATAAGAGATGCTCGGAGAACTTACAATGAGAGAAGAGATGCACAATATCCCGGGAAAGCAAAGTTGAAATAAAATAAATTTGAATGGAAATAGCAAAGTTCCGCATAAAATGGTTTAGTTAAATGTGCGAGAACTATATGATTTTATGCCAGATCTACTTTAAGGCATTTTTTATTGTAAGGTAATTAAGGGAAAAAAATCAAAAATAAAAAAAGAATTTTCAAGAGATTGTCATTCTTAAAGACCCATAAAAATGAGAGCATTTAGGTAGACGCTAAGTGGAAATGAAGCATCCCAAAAGCACGATATAAAATATATGCTATCAAAATAAAAACATATAAATAAACAAGAATTGATAAGGGTTATATATATATCTGTTTAGTAACTAAGCCAACCGAACATAAATTATAGAATGAATTTGAACAACTCACAGAAACTGTAACATCAGTGCAACGTAAACACAATCAATACATCAATTTAATATAAAAGATTAAACAGAGGAACTAGTCTATCTGGGAAGTAAAATAAAAGCTGGTATACCTTACAGGATATCTAGAATCAGTAGACCAATAAACTAAATTTCTATCAGAGAAAAGGGAAAATTGAGAGATCAACATGTGCTAAAGAATCTTACTTGAATGTGCTTCATCCTTGCAGCAGTCAACTCATCAGTTAAGCTAACCATCCTGTGAGGGAAAAGAGGAATTGGTGGATCGAATACATAAATAATCATTACAATTAAACGTATCATAACATTTGGGGTTTGCTCCACAATCATTCTTTTTTCAATGCTATTTCTAGCTATCCATGGAATTAATTCTAGTTTAGTAATATTATATTGAACGTGGATATTTCATGTTATTTTACCACTTCGTCCGAATATTAAAATAATAATAATAATAATAATAATAATAATAATAATAATAATGACATAAAAATTATTTCTTAATCATCAACCTTTAACGTGAGGGCTTGTTATAAAATTATAAGAATATCGGGCAAGTTTTGAGGATTTTAACATAAACTATAAATAGATATTTGCACCATTTATTCTAACACGTTGCATTTTTTTTTTCTTCCCACAAGGACGACTAATTGCTTATATGACTTGTGGGATTGCAAATTGGAAATTCTAAATGGCAATTCTAGTAGCAGAAACTCTATGGTTTTTAAACTTAATTGGCAATACTAAAGGATCACCAAGAAGTTTCAAACTTGAATTGCCAAATAGTCATTCTTTTTTAATTAGATAACTCCTAACTTGCCAATTAGTCATCTTTTTTTTTAATTTCACAATTCCAAACTCACTTTAGATTGCTCTATGTTTTCAATTCATGCTTCAACAGAAGCTCTATCTACTTCCCCTTGTCATTACTAATCAAACATTTACATCACAATTGCAAGTAGATAATTCAATCAAGCAATTAGATTTAAGTAACACACTGATGACTCATCAACATCATCATAATTACTATTATCCGAACTATTTGAAGTAAGTACCATGTTGATGACTACTTAATACTTAGGAAAATAATGAAATTTTTACATCATTGGAATTGATGGCACTCATTAAACTTCAAATTAAGCTTATAGGTGTAAGTTCTTCATTTAATTCATTTTTTATTTTTAAATAAGTAAACTTTCGCATTGAAATGTCTTTGAAGCTCATTAATTTTATTTATCAAATTTCATTTTTTTTTTCACTTTTGCAAGTTTGATGAATGTCTCCATGTTTTCATTGTGATGCCTGATGCTTTGATTTGGTTTGCAAGTTAACTGAACGTATTAAAATCTCTTGGAAGAAAGTGAGAAAAATTTAAACGCCATACCATTGTTGAGAGAATAATCAAAAGAGATTAAAGCTTACAAACAGTAGACAATGTACAAGAAAATGATTAATTAGGAAAAAATAAATTAATATTAGCTTCATGCACAAAAAAAAGGAAAGGCCAAATTAACCCTAGCTACGGGTGCATGGGGCAAATGGATTATATAGTTTTCTACAAATATTTAACACGCATCTTGTTGATAATGTTGACAAGGTTGCTAAATGCTCTGCATTTTTTCACAACTAGCGCTCATTTATTTTATTTTTTCTCAGGAAAGTGTCAAAAAGAAGGTCAACGGTTGTAAGTTAAATACATATGCTCTTTATCACTTTCTCAGTATATTGATAAGACATCTACATGTCAGGTTCATAAATATGTGCCGCATAAGGAAATAAAACAGACTTAAGAAAAATATTGTTGACTTGCCTGGTCTGGAGCTCAGAAATTTTAGCAAGCAGGAGGCGCTCTCTTTCAGTTACTGCTGTATCAACCTGATAAAATGAATAGGTTATTTACCGATTCCTGGAGTAATTTTCTCAACAGATAAACAAAGCGTCAGGAAAATATAGTCATATGAATTAGTCCAAGTAAAATTAATTTCCTTCACCATATTAGAGTAAAAAATGAAAGAAGGCGAGCAGATTATTATGACTCTCAGATCAGGAGCAGATTAGTTTAAAGTGGTCTAAAGTTTAAATACAATCAGTGAATCTTTTATATCAAATAAATATTTAGTATGTTTAACTTAAAATTAGCCAATTGAGAAACCAGAAGTTAGAATACCTTCTTTATTTAATATTTATATATTGAGTTTTGAATGATTAGGTGAAGTGAAAATTTAATGCAACATGCCTTAGACGTTTCATTGATAATTAGATGGGCCTTGTGGCAAAGGGAGAAAAGACCTGTATAGAAAGCTGTGCATTTAGGTTTTCATCATCTCTTTTGTTATCAACAATAAGGCAGCGCTACGAAACAATCAAGGACAAAACCCTGATGCTGAAAGCTGGAATCAATTGGCTGATCTTCTGGTAAAATTGTTGGTTGAGCCAAAAAAAAAAAGATCAAACTCTAGTTGTTGGGCTAGCGGTAGAAGTATCGATATGAAAACAATCAGGAATACTAGGTAAAGCTGACCTTGGACCTCCTAAAACTTTAAGAAAAAGGCTGTCTAAGGGATTACTAGGGTGGGGATGCCTTTGAGACGGTGATTTTCGTTTTAAGATACATCATACAACAGTATCATAACCTTCATAGTGGAGTTGGTTTCATATATATGATCAGAATTTATGGAGATTCTGTAACACCCCAAAATACTCCTAAACAGTACTGTAAAGTGTAAGATGCATAACATAAACATTTTTCTTTTCTTGATATTTAATACAACTTCTCTTTTTAGAAGATCATATAAATCATCCAACCATAATTCAATTTTACTCATTAAAAAATTTGGCTACACTTTCATAACATTATTCAATGGAGCCCAGGTAAACCTGGCATTATCGCCATTGAATTACATAGAGGTCCATTTTGCCTCTTTAGGGGTCCCTTTTACCCCACCTGCTATGCAGGTATCATATTATCTGGGTCCCTTTTGCCCCTCATGTGATACAGGTATATTATCTAAGGTCTCTTTTGCCCCACCTGTAATTACAGTTATACATCATTTGTAGCAAAACTTTACTTTTCAATTGATATTCATAAAACTTTTCAATGTTCATAAGTCATACTTAAGTTATTGCATTCTTTCATAATCATTGTTGTGATCACCAGTGTACAATTAAAAATGCACACCATAAGCAAGTAAATTGACATCTTTCCAAAACAATATCAAATAGGAAAACATTTAGATTAACATACTAAACATTGTTTTACACTTACCTGATTTCATTATGTATCTGATTGTTCATACCTGAAAACTTGAATTAAAAATACTTTCTATACATTAAACAAATTTCATAACCTTTTACTTTAATGCATTCAAAATCAATCTTCATGCTTATAAATGAAAGTTCTAAAATCTGAATATAAATGCATTACTTGCATCCTTTACGAGTGATCTCTTCCAAACCTATATCACATAACCTTCTTCTTTGATACACTAACCCAAAACCTTCTTTCTCTATAAATATACGAATAATCCTACAATATAATTGATATAGTTGCTTTAGGAACTATTATCAAATTTATAAAAAACTGAAAGACAATTATAAAATTATCATACAAACAATTTGCTTACCTCTCTCGTCTTCCCTATATTTCCTTCTTTCTTTTCTCTTCTTCCACTCAACTTCTTCTTCACTTTTGTTATTTCCTGGATGGCATAACAACTCTACACTTCACTCTCTAACACTGTTATTTATCTACTTTCCTATAATTCCACTGTCAAAACCCATAAATCAAGCAAATAAGAAAAATTGCATTACAGGAATCCAATTTCTTAGCCCTGCCGAAATTCAATTACTTACCTGCCTTGCACTGAATCCACAAAGTAAACCAAATTTCTTTTTCTTCAGCCTTTGCACTATGCGCTGCCCTCTACCTACAGGGAGAATTCCGCCTCTTGCTACAGGAGGATTTGCGAATTCCCTGAACAGGCTTTGCGGCTTTTTCTACTGTCCCGAGAGAGCACCCAAATCTGCTACTGAACCCTTCCTTTCACTGTGCTGTATTTCTTCTACAGAATTTGGCCGAAATCTTCCTCTATGTGCCGAACTTCTCTACAAGAGTGCAGTGCCGAATGCACCATCACAGAATTGCTAACTACTTTTTTTTTTAGAACACAGCCTTTCCCAAGTCTTTATTTACACGTAACTGCTTTATATTATGTCTAATTGCTGTTGTAAAACTCCAAACAGAGGAATTAGGTGTAAGAGAGCCCACACACTCTTCCTTAACTGCTATCATTCTTATCCAATGAAAATATCCATTTCCAAATCACTTGGCTGCCGTGAACTGTTATCTTTATTTACAGTTTTAGAGAAAGCATCTTTTCAAAATTATGATGCAATTATGACTTATCAAAGTAAATTACTTAACAGTACATCTTTACGTAATACTTTACTATTATTAACTTAACTATTTTACTTCTATTAATTATAGTTAGCCTTAATTTAACAACTAGAGATTATTAAACTTCAAATTAAATTTTAAAAGTATAATTAAATAAATTTACATTCTTCATACCTGAATTCTGGACCTTACAGATTCAACTAATATGCATAGGTGGAGTCTAGATATGAATTTCAGGAGTATTTCCCACTGCATAAATGAAGAGGACATGTAGGAACATACATGCTAATAGCAAATTAAAAGCTCACAATGTGGTGCGTGCACCACCTTGTGTAATAAGGCAAGAGGTGTTAAAAAGCAAGTCTTGTGCACTATTAATGAGTTATTGCAAAACATGCATTTTCTTTGTGCCGTACGCCATTTTAACAACAACAACAAAAACAGCATCAAGCCTTTATCCCACTATGTGGGGTCGGCTACATGAATCTTTTTTCTCCATTGTGTCCTATTAAAAGTCACATTCTCGTTTAAATCTAATAAAGAAATATCATTTCTAATATTTTCTAACGAAGTCTCTTTAGGTCTGCCTCTACCTTTCTTAATATAAGTCAAATCTAGTACCTTTACTTTCCTAACCTGGTCATCGAAAGGCTGCCATTTTAGGTGACCAAACCATCTAAGACGACTCTCTCTAATCATATCTTCTACTGGAGCTGCTCCAACCTTTTCACGTATATGCTCACTTCGTATCCTATCTCTAAGGGTAAAGCCACACATCCACCAGAGCATTCTCGTCTCTGCCACACTTAACAAAGTATTATGCTTCACTTTTAATGGCCAACATTCGGCACAATAAAGCATTGCAAGCCTCACCACCATCTTATAGAATTTTCCCTTAAGTTTGAGAGGTACTTTTCTATCACACAACAAGCCCGATGCAGTCCTCCACTTCAACCATCCAACTTGAATTCTGCCGATAATATCCCCATCAGTTTCACCATCACTCGGAACAATAAATCTAAGATATCTAAAACAAGTACTCTTATTAATGACTTGATCACCCAAAGTCACAATCCCCTCACTAGGTCTATTACTACTAAAATTACACTCCATTCCATTTTAGATTTACTCAAGCGAAAACCTTTATACTCTAAGGTTGACCTCCATAATTCAAGTTTACCTTAAACTCCCTCTCTAGTCTTATCAACAAGAAGAATATCATCAGCAAAAAGCATACACCAAGGTATATCCTCTTGCAAATATCTAGTGAGAACATCCATGACTAAAGCAAAAAGATATGGGCTTAAGGCTAATCCTTGATGTAACCCAATCGAAATAAGAAAATACTTAGTCAAACCACCTTGTGTTTGAACACAAGTAATAGCTCCTGCATACATATCTTTAATGATTTAAATATAAGCATTATTAACTTCGTTATTTTCAAGAACTCTCCATAGCACTTCTCTTGGAACTTTATCATATGCTTTTTTTCTAAATCAATAAATATCATATGTAGATCCTCCTTATTTTCTCTATATTTCTTCATCAAACCTCTTAATAAATGTATGGCTTCCAAAGTCGACCTATCCGGCATGAATACAAATTGATTTTGAGAAACATTAGTATCACGCCGTAACCTAGCTCCATAACTCGCTTCCATAGTTTTAAAGTATGACGCATTAACTTAATTCCTCTATAATTCACACAATCTTGTGCATCACCTTTATTCTTAAAAATAGGAATTAACACACTCATTCTCCACTCATCTGACATCTTTTAGTCTTCAAAATAGTATTAAAAAGTTTAATAAGCTAAGAAATTCCTTCATCTCCTAAGCATTTCCACACCTCTATTGGAATATCATCAGATCCAACAGCTTTTCTACCATTCATTTTCTTTAAAGCCTCTCTAGATTCGGTTTTACTAATACGCCGATAAAAAACAAAAATATTTATTTTCATTTAGGGTGCTAAGGCAACTACAGTCAATCTTATTTTCATAATCTTAACTAAAATTTTAGCAAAATATCTCATCCACCTTTGTTGAATATCTTCTAGGAAAAGTATTTTTTGAACTTTATCCTTAATACATTTCACTTGAACTAAATCCTTACTACTATCTCTTTGTTTGGTTAGCTTATAAATATATTTCTCCCTCCTTAGTATCTAATCTATTATATAAATTACTAAAAGCTAAGGTCTTTGCATCACATATTGCTTTCTTAGATTCCTTACGAGCCTCTTTATATCTTTTCTAATTATCAAAATTTTTACAATTAAACCAAATTTTATAACAAATTTTCTTATTTTTAATCTTTTCTTGCACATTTGGATTCCACCACCAACTATTATTACTAATAGAAGTTTTTCCCTTTGATACTCCAAGCACATTTTTTGCAATATTCTTAATATCACTAGCCACTTTTTCTTACATTACATTAGCATCCTCATGCACAGACAAAATCTTAAGATCTAAAAACTTACTCTCAAATATATTTTTGTTAATATTCTTTAAAAGCCCCTATCTAATCCTAGAATATCGTTTTACTTTATTTTTTATTTTTTACTCTCTTATCTTAAAGTCCAAAACTAATAATCGATGTTGGGTATACAATTTTTCACTCGGAATAACTTTATAATCGTTGCAATCTAAACCATCTAATTTTGTTATAAGAAAATAGTCAATTTGAGTTATACTATATCCATTTTTAGCTCATTCCTTTTCTTAAATAAGATATTAGCAATTAAAAAATCATAAGCTAAACAAAAATCTAATATGATGTTGCCACCTTCATTTGTCGTTCCAAACTCATGGCCACCATGAATGATTTTAAAATCATCTACATCTCTACCAACATGTTCATTTAAATCTCCTCCAATAAAAACTCTTTCTTGAAGAGATATATTTTATATTAATTCTTCTAAGTCATTCTAAAAAATTAATTTTGAACTCATCTACAAATCTACTTGAGGAGCATAAGTACTAATAATATTAACAATCTTAGCATCAACAACAATCTTTAAAGCTAAAATTCTATCTCCAATTTTTTTTAATTTTTATAACATTATCCATAAAACTCTTGTCTATAATAGCACCTATACAATTTCTACTATGACTCCTACCTGAATACAAAAATTTAAATCCTAAACTATCAATCTCCTTAGCCTTCTCTTCAACCGATTTAGTTTCCTGAATGCACAGAATATTTAACTTCCTAGAATCATAATATCGATTAATTCCATTAATTTTCCTGTAAGGGAACCTATATTCCAAGTTTATATCCTAATTTTAGTTTCATGGACTAGCTTATTTGACCACATCCATCCTTGATGTGGAAACCCTTGCCTATTTAAGACTACACCCGGGCGCCATTTTAACAACTCATTTTATTTCTTGAAATTAGAGTTAATATTATTTAATTAATTTTTAAATTAATCTTATTTTTTATTAGGGTTTTAATATCACTTACACGATAAATCACACACAAACTCTGCCCGACTTGTCTTCACAACCATTTGATGGAGATATCTTTTTGGCACTTTGATGGAGTCAGCCTTTTTGCATGATGGATGGCTTGAACTTTTTGGCTCATATTCTCAACTCTTGACAATACCACCTTTTCAAATGGCACTTGGTTTCTCTTGGCTCACAAATCTCAAGGGGACAACTTCGTATGACTACTATATCCTTTTCACTTGCAGACTCTCATCTCTTCAACCTCCCTTCAACTTCTGCTCTCACGACTACAATCTACCTCATGGCTGCTTGGACTAAATTTGCATGTGACAACCAACATCACAAAAAGGATGCAACTTCTGTAACTAAATTTACTTGAGATGGCTTATGAACCCTTGAGACAACCGACACTTCACAAAAGAATGCATATGACAAAGAGGCTCTTCGATCTTATTCTTAGCAAGCATTTTCTCTTTACTTTTTCTTTCCTTACTATTTAACCTTCATTTAATGTTTTTTCTTCCTTATTTGATCTAATATGATTAATATTTAAACCTAACATTTTCTTCTTTAACCTGCAAAAATGTAATCTTAATATTTAGGACAATGCTAAGTCACACTATTCCAATGTTTCATTCATTAACTACTGAAAAAAAAAATTATCTAATTTATGTGAAAATTTTAGGAAAAATCCACAGTTAAAATGTGTTGTCTTGGTAAAATAAAATGATACTAGTTGTGATGGCTATAAAAAAAGAAATTATTTGTCATAAACAACATTAATTTGTGGGTTAAGAAAAATGCTTAAGTTTGTGGTAGCTACTTCAACATGTGAATTATTAAATTCAAGGGTGTATAAGCAAAGGAGTAGAAGAAACAAATCAATGAAATGCCACATTGAGATGAAATTAGTAATGAGTTGAGTATGAACATTACTAATGAAGGACTTTTTAGGATTCCTCATGCTAAGAGAAAAAGGACCACTAATAAACCTGGTTATAATTTTTTTAAAAAAAATAATTTATAATTATTATAGAATAATATTTTGATATTTAAATAATAATGAAGATTGTTATATAACTCTATCTGATGAGTGGCTAAATGTGGTCAAAGATATCAACATTTGCAACTTTCAAAGATCAAAATACTCGGCTATACCAACGTAATTGGTATGCATTTCAACAAGAACAAACATATATTGCATATGAACTATGAACATAAGACTTAACAATTTAGTAGTCTAAATATTTTTTTTTGGATGCAACTTCATAGCAAAATAAGCAAGATGGATCATAGCTGCCTCAAAGTGTGAACTCTAAAAATTCACATGCCAGCTCTGCTGAGAGAATTATTAGTGTTTTGGGTCAAATTTCAGAAGGCATATTAAGTTGCAAGTAAGACATTACTCAGAGATTTTTACTCATTTCACAAAAACTTAATCATCTAGTTCCATATTTCTCATAAGCAGAAGCTCATATGATTAATTGTCATCTCAGTGATGAGAGTGAACTTTTGATTAAGGCTAATCGGTAAAAGCAAAGTACTTAGCATATAATAGAAGAAATTTGATATATGATTTGAGAAATGGTGGGGAATGATGATGAATCCAAACAATATCCTATGGATGCCTAGTCTCAGGTTATTATGAAACTTCATCTATTTAGTTAAAAATTAGTTAATTTAACCTAATTCAATGATCCTAATCAGCAGTTATAAATTAAATCTACATTACAAAAAAAATGATAAAACTAACTCGTTTAGAACACAAAGTAGGCCTTAAGCCTCCAATCTTACTGTCAGCAAACCATTCTCATTTAAACAATAATAAGCATAATCCATAAGCTTAGGCCTTCCTTTTTATGAAGTACAGAACTTGATTCAGATTGTTAAAAACTTAAGTTGAATAGATCTAAAACACATAAATATATATATATATATATATATTCCATATTTATCATAAGAAAATTTAATTAAATAAAAAACTCACCAGATTGTCTTCCTCAGAGTTTTGTTGTTTCAATGGCATACCAGCCTGGAAAGCTGTAAGGTGTCCACGGGTTTCTATAAATAATTTCAGGTTTAGAGAAATAAACAATAAAAGACAAACACGTACCATCAACAATACCATTTTGTTGGAGGCTATTCAACAGATTAGTAAGAAGATCCTGATAACCAACCACATTAAGGATATTGTTATCTCTACCATTCTTGAAAATAATAGAGAAGTTTATAGGAAAAAACATGGAATTGCAGTAATGGAGAACTATTTCACAGTTAAATAAAGCATTCTGATGTACCTGTTGAAACGAAGTCTGCTGAAAAAGATTCTGGAGGTGAGGCATCAAAATAGAAGCAGGTAATGCGCTGTTGATGTTATCCTTTTCATGCAGATTAAGAGGCTGAAAAATGGGGGAAAGAGAGTACAAGAAGCTATAATTTCATGGAATAACAGACATAAGTGAAAAGAATCATAAAAATAAGTTTAAATCAGTACAAATAAATACACTAAATTATATTTTCTTCAAACAATTACCTATTACAAGTACATAGAAATCCTCAAAAACAGGGAAAAAAAAAAACTTACCGACCTTTGCTACAAGTATCCTGTTACTAAAAAATTGTCAAGCAAGCTATTTTACTCCCTTAATTGCAGTATTTCAAATGACACTGAAATCAGATTTCATCGAGTTTAACAAAATTAAAAGCTTTGAAAAAAACAAGGTGCTACTAAGGGTCTATTTGGTTTGCTAAAAAGGACTAGAGAGTAATACAATGTAAAATAAATTCAATGCATTTAAAATGTTAGGACTTGGTTGCATGATTGAAAATAAATGCAACTTTTTTTTTGTTTGTAGAAAAATAAATGCAGTGTAAAGCCCTACAATAGTGGTGGGGTTTAGTGGCGGGCAGTAGTAGCACCAAAGAGTGGTATTAGCTACTGATGGCCTATGACATTGGCAGACATTGACGAAGATTGGCAATGGAAATGATTTGAGAAATGGTGGGGATGATAAGCCATCTTCAATGGTGGTAGACGGCAACGGGCAGCAACAACTATGAGAACCGAATGGATCGGTTCAATCCATCATATATCGAAAGTAGGCGGAGTCGAACAGGAGCGAGCGAGCGAGTGCAAGTGGGGGCACTGGGTCAAGTGAGAGAGCAAAGACGAAGCAAAAAAGGCAAGTTGACGCCTACAATTCAAGAACATGCAGGAACAGAAGCAATCATGGGCAAGCAGCCATGACTCACATGGAATAAGTTGAGAATGCTCATTCCAATGGTGTCGAACATTAAGGAGAAGTTTTTATGTGTGAGAGGAATTTTGTTCGAAGAAATAGCTTGCGTTAGTTGAAGTCAATCGATAGAGAGATGGATTGTTCGATTTTGAGCACCATAATATTCGACTGAAAGGAAGAGGAATGTTAAGAAGATGAATTTGTGAGTTTTCATTTTGAACAGAAGAGAATGAGAAGCATGTGTATTCAATAGGAACAAAGAAGAAGTGTAAGTTATTTCCTATTTAAATTTAGAAAGAAAGAAATGTAGAATTTTCATTTTGACTAAAACAGTTATTATATGATTGTTCAATAGGAAGAAGTTTCGGTTGGTAAAAATCTCGATTCAATTAAGAAGATGGAAATTTGAGGTAAGCAAGAAAAACTGTATAAACCCAATTTTAATCATTTTCTAGGATATAATAAAGTATGTCATTAGAAAAAAAAAATTGAAAAAACACTTATTTATTTGAAGGCCTTTGACAATGCTTTAGCAATATTCGATGAATGCAACGTTGTCTTTGAAGATGTCTAATGCAGCCGATGTTATTTTGACAACATTATACATCTAAATATTACTACTAATAAAAATTAATGCAAGTATCATTATTTCAGATAGGGGAAGTTAACAGTTGAACTACGACAAAGTATCAAAATGACAGAAAAGTTCTAGAGAAAATTTAGGTAAGATTTTAAAAATAAAAATGGTGAATTAATTTGAAGTTAATTAAAGTACAGTTGAAAGCCTGAAAGGTAACAGTGCAGATTCATATAATTATGTACATGACTTCAGATGTTGCATTAAAGAAATTCACTTAAGAGCTGAAAAAATTTGGAAGGATTTCAGCACACGAAAAGCAGTAAAGTGGGTGATTGCATTTATTTTATAGCAATTATATTTTTCTATTTTGATTCAATGTAATTATTTGATATTGTATCAGGCATGTATAGTTGTTACATTTTAAAGCATCTATTATGCATTAAATTGAGAAAAACTAAGCAATCAAAGTTACAATATGATATATATAAATGTAAAAAATGACTTATATAAAATTGATAGGCATGAGTAAAGAAAAATGAAATGAAAAAGTTAAATTATAATATATAAATGGAAAGTATTGAAAGGGAAAAGATATATGCAAGCACATACAGGATTTCACAGTAAGAATCGGTCCAGCCGGTTGGTTCAATTGAACCGTCCCTAATTAAATAGCGAGATCAGACAAAGAAGCGGACAAAGCAAACGGGCCACAAGCAGGCGCGAGAGCAACTAGCGAGAACCGTTCGTGGGAATATGCAAGGAAACATGTTCAAAAATGAAAACCAACGACTCCTCGGGAGGGATAAGTGCGATTCATTCACCAAGTGAAAGAAAAACGTGAGGAAAGCTCTGTGTTGAGAGTGAACTGTGTTGAGAGGAGAATGAGCATTGATGTCATTTCGCCTTCTGGTCGCAGCCAACTTTGCAATCAAGCAAGGAAAAGGAGTTCGAGCAAGCATCAAGTATTCGTGTTTCTTTTGATTAAAATGATCAACATTTATTTGTTTATAAATGATGATAAAAAATTTATTAGAAAATGAGAGTACTTTAAATTATTAGTTAATTAGATGGAGAGAGAACAAATTTTAGCATAAATTGATAAATAAAATACAAGAGTAATTAGTTATTTTAATAAGTAATTAGAGAGAGAAGAGAAATTTATGTGATATAAAGAAATATTATCATAATAAAATAATACTTAATCATTAGAATTATGAGAGTAATTTAATGTTAAAATTTAAGAATATTATGAGTTGAAGATAAATTATAAAATATAATGTATTTATGTAGGTATCAAACTCTCGACAACGAAGTGATTATTAAAGTAAATTGTTAAAGCATCCAACTTCGAGGTGAGTACTCATTTCTTTTAATTACAGTAATGATATTTGTTTCTCCTATGTATGATGCATCAAATACTGTTATTATTTAATTGCTTATTATTAATATGCTATGAACTAATGTTATATGAATTTTCTTTACCAAAGAAAATTGATCATGTTGAACTAGAAAACTTGAATTTACTATCATATAGATATCATTTATCACAAATCATGATGTTTATTATATAACTCCATATGAAAAGATATGAAGAAGCTAAATGATATGATTTATGTAGTATATTTGCATGTGTATGTTGACTGATATAGTACACCCCCTTATGGTACAAGCTGGGGACGCAATGTACCCGTACATGTAAATGAAAAATGTTATGAAAAAAGAAAAGGAAATAGAAATGTAGTACCTTCATTGGTACAAAATTAAACGGTGGCTTCTCTGACGATTATATTATTTATGAGAAAGAAGAAATATATAAATAAAGATATTGAATATGCATAATATTGAAAGTCTTGAAATGAAATAAATCTAAATGGAATTATTTTATGATATGAATTGAAATGCTCATGCATATTATTTCAATTGTCTTTAGTTACTGTAATTTAAAAGCATATTTTACTCACTGAATTGTGGCTTACTTTTAGTTGCTCTAATAATTTCAGGTATAATTTAATTAACTAAAATGAGCAGAAGAGGTGAAAATATGTATCATAGGTGCGGCGCACCAAATGAAAGATATTTAATTCATTTAAAATCAGTTTATATTTTTAAGTTTAAGTTACTCTTTTTGTGTATTGGAGATAGATTTAACAAATAAAAATTTAATATATCATCCGACCACCTGTGCTCACCTCGTTAATTTGAACTTCCGGGCCAGGTCGTGGCATTCACCCCCTTAAGTTATTAACTGGAGATGCAACGTACTAGTGTATGATAAAAAAATAAAAATTCAATAAAATTTTACTTTGCATTCCTTTCTCATCAAACCAGATACAAAAATTTTTAAAACTCATATATTTGGAATACTTTATACTCACTTTTCATCAAACCAGACAACCCCTAAGTATTTTCCAAAACTAAATTACACTTGTTCAAAAACACATTTCACGTTTCAATCTCCGATCACCTCCATTTACTTCTCATGTAAGTGAAAATTTTATATTCTAGCCACAACTGGTAGGCACTAAAACAAGCAATATAATAAACCCAAAAAAGGTTGATACCAACTTCTAAATTAAGTTATAAAGTGTTGTTATATTTCAAAATGTTAGGAATGAAAAACTCAAAGTTTTAAAAAAGCTAAAAGTTCAAAAATCCAAAATATTTTGTACCCTTATTAAACTAATTTAAATTGATTTAGTATTAGAATTAATTAACATATGATTTAGTTTCAATATTGCGATAGCCAAAGGTATTGTAATGTATCTTTCTCCTTTCCATTTCCACTAATGAAAGCATGCAACTGGCGATGCTTTTAAATGATGGTTTGGATGAATCAAAATTATAGATTATTAAGTTATTATATATATATATATTTAATTTTGAATTAAATTGAGTTGGAAAGTAAAAAAAATGAGAAAATGATAAAAAATGCAAAACCCAAAAATTTTGATCGTAAGCGTTGCATGCATTTCGATGCGTCGCGGCGAAATTTAAATAAATTTTCAAAGTCGTCGGATTTCGACGAAAATAATTTTATAAAATTATACATAAAATTTCGAGCAAATCAGTAGAAAAGACTTAGATGGAATTTAGCATAGATTTGAAATTAAAAATTGTCGAAGTTTTCAAATAATATAAATATGTACTAGAATACCACTAGAATACCCTTATCTTCTTTATGGTCTTTTAACATACTTAAGGGCAAATAGGACAATTGGCATTTTTTTCCTAACCGCCCATTCTTAAGGGGACCGAATGGATTTGGTCCCCTCATTCGCTCAGTTCGATTCATTCGGCCGAACACAAGAGGGGCAGCGGGAGGCTTCATGGGCGACTCCGGCGGCGGTTTCTGACGGCCAGTCTTGGGGGAAAACGTAGAGGAAGACTAAGGGAGAGTTAAAGTATGTTCTTAAGGCAAGAAATCCTCTTTTTCACATAGATTTTTAGAAGAGAAATTTCTAGGGTTTTACAAAAACTTAGAATTTCTTTGGGAAATGAATCGATAAGGTTAGGAAAAGTAATTTAACCGTAAAAACGAAATTTTTCCCAAATTTTGTGAGTTTGGGAAATTTTTCCCAAA